ATTTCTATTCATCAGTAATACCCAATAGTGTAGCATGCACATCTGCACTTGGGAGTCTAAGTTTTGGTGGCAACAGATAGGTGGTTTCTACTGGTGGTGTGGACTAAGCGAGGGGGATATCTCCATTGCTTTCTTTAAGTTTTATGTGCATTTTGAGAGAGAGAGAATGCACAAGGGAAGGGGAGAGAGAGTCCTAAGTAGGTTTTGTGCTAAGTGTGGAGCCTGACTTGGGGCTCGATCTCATGAACCAGAGATCACAACCTGAACTGAAACCGAGTTGGCTGCTTAAGCAATTGTGCCACCCAGGTGCCCTGAATTTACCACATTTCTTAAAAGTGCGGTTTAGGGAAAGGCGATGAAAATGTAATGATGGTTGAATTTTTCTCTTGGCAATTGACAGTATCTTTTTCGGATCACTCAAACTTCTTAACATTCAACCTTCCTATTTCTTCTGTTTTATTTAATGAATTTGATCATTCTCTCCTGATTATACTGACCTTTCTTATTTTTCACAGTATTACTTAAAAGTAGATTTTCCTAGGGGCACCTGGGTGGTGTAAGTTGTGAAGCATCTGCCTTCAGCTCAGGTCATGATCCCAGGGTCCTGGGATCAAGCCCTACATCGGGCTCCTTGCTGTGTGGGAATCCTGCTTCTCCCTTTCCCAGTCCCACTGCTTGTGTTCTCTCTGGCTGTCTCTCTCCCTGTCAAATAAAATCTTTAAAAAAAAAAAAAAAAGATTTTCCTTGTTTTTTTGGCTGATTTTTTTCCCCTTAGGTTTTCAGTTCCTTTCCCTTTTTCACCTATATATCCATTTCTTTAGCTATTATGTCGTGGGCAAATTCCAGTAAACAGACAAATAAGTAAGTATGCTCACATGTATACATACTCCACATTACCAATATGAATTATGTACACATATATATGTATAGTTTTAACACATACTTCTGCCTACAGAATAGTTCTACTTTGATGTCCTCATGTTATCACCAAAATCTTTTATATCTGAATTCACATCTTCTGCCCTAAAATGGCTTTGCTTTTTTAACATTCCCATTCTTCATGTCCTAGTTTAAAAACTTGTAACTCCCAGTCTGGTCATTAAGTTTCTTCTGACTTTAAAAAAATGCTTTTTACATTTGCCTTTTGATGCAAGTCACTGAGAAAACCTAAGAAATAGAGAAGTGCAGGTGTGCCTGGGTGGTTCAGTCAGTTAAGCGCCTCTCTCTCTCTCTTTTTGTTAAGCCTCTGACTCTTGATTTCTGCTCAGGTCATGATTTGGGATCATGACACTATATCTCAAATAAATAAAATAACTTTTTTTTTTTTAATGAGAAAGTGTAGGATTGCAGAAAACTGTGGTGCCAATCTCAAGATACCTGTAGCAGTACTATGAACAGTTAAAAGAATCCCTGAAGACACTGACAAAACCTTACATCTCCCGATGACCACCTACCTATGTGCAACTGACCCTGGAAGATAATGTCTTCTACTTCTCTTTGACCTTTAAATTTTTGTGTAATTCTCTATTGGTGGTAGATTTTCAGAATTGAACCCTGCTGGTAAGGGAGTGTGGGAAGTGCTTCTAGATCCTGACATATTGAGAAGGATTAAAAGATGGGATAGGGGCGCCTGGGTGGCTCAGTCGTTAAGCATATGCCTTCGGCTCAGGTCATGATCCCAGGGTCCTGGGATCGAGCCCCAAATCAGGCTCTCTGCTCAGCAGGAAGCCTGCTTCTCCCTTTCCCACTCTGCCAGCTTGTGTTCCTTCTCTTACTATGTCTCTGTCTGTTAAATGGGTAAATAAAATCTTTTTAAAAGGTGGGGGTGGGGGGTGGATAGTGTGAAGTATCAGAAGGCAGCATGCAGCGCATACCCTCAGTTCCCTTAGAACAAATATAAATTCTTTAGCTTAGAATTTTGCATCCAGCAATTCCAGATCTGAGTAGTTACCTGAGTGAAACAAAATCACTGTCTTGAAGATTTACTACATGCCCCGTGTTCAGTGCATTATTATTTATGATAGGTAAAATAGGAATAACCTAAGTGTTCATTGACAGGTGAGTGAATAAAGAAAATGTGATATATATGTACATATATTTGAATATTATTCAGCCATTAAAAAGAATGAAATTCTGCCACTTGTGACAACATAGAGGACCTTGCAGGTATTATACTAAGAGAAATAAGTCACACAGGGAAAGGCAGATGCTGTACGATCTTACATGTGGAATCAAAAAAAGCTGAACTCATAGGTACAGATCATAGATAAAGAAAACAGTTTGGTTGTTGTCAGTGGTGGGTAGTGGGGTGGGGGAAATGGGATATGATGGTCAAACGGTACAGACTTCCAAGTTATAAGTTAATCTTAGGGATGTAGTGTTCTACTTGGTGACTGTGACTAACAATACTGTAACGTATATTTCTTTTTTAAAGAGAGCATGGGTGGGGAGGTGCAGAAGGGAAGGGAGAGAGAGAATCTTAAGCAGACTCCACACCCAGTGTAGACCCTGACACAGGACTCAATCTCACAACCGTGGGGTTAAGACCTGAGCTGAAATTAAGAGTTGGTCGCTCAACTGACTAAGTCATGCAGAGACTCCTATATTGTATATTTTAATGTTGCTAAGAGAGTAGATCTGATCACAGAAAATTTGTAATTGTGAGGTGATAGATGTTAAGTAAATTTATTGCAGTGATCACTTCCCAATGTATTTCATGTAGTAAATCATTCTTTTGTACACCTAAAACTAATACAGTATTATGTGGCAGTTATACCTTAATAAAAACCGGTGGCTTTTCATGTTTGACACCTTAAATGACCAGCCTTATCTTTTACATTCTGTCAGTAGAAATTGTAGTTGTTTGTTGTTGTTTTTTTAAAGATTTATTTATTTGATAGTCAGAGATCACAAGTAGGCAGAGAGGCAGGCAGAGAGAGAAGGAGAAGCAGGCTTCCTGCCGAGCAGAGAGCCCGATGGAGGCCTCGATCCCAGGACCTTGAGATCATGACCTGAGCCGAAGACAGGGGCTTTAACCCACTGAGCCACCCAGGTGCTCCTGTAAAAATTGTAGTTGAACCACCTGTTTTTCTTACTGATCTTTTACTCTGTGACTTCCAGCTCCCGTAATTGTGAAGTTTTCTTCCTCTTTTCTTTAAACACACAGATACCTAAGTCTTATGCCCTACCTCAGGTGTTAACCTACTTTTCACTCCTATATCAGAACTTCCACATTTAAAAGTGTCTCTCCCACTTGAGTGGATTCTTCTAAGAATAAGGACTTTATCTGCCTTATTTGCCAATCTATTTCTAATCTTTACAAAATAATCTGACACACAGTAATTGCTTAATAGTAAGTGAATGAGTAAGGTATTGGTTGTATGGTTTATCTCTGAAAGGATATAATTCCAGTTAATTCACTAAAAAGAGAAGGAAATAAAACTTTAAATGTACTGACAGAGAAAGAGGTCTCTGGTATAATTTTGAGTGATAAGAGAGAGTAAAATATCTTAAATATTTTTCTATACTTAGCAGTGGGGAAAATATATACCACTGTTAACACTGAGTACCGGGGCACCGGGGTGGCTCAATGGGTTAAAGCCTCTGCCTTCGGTTCACGTCATGATCCCAGGGTCCCAGGGTCCTGGGATCAAGCCTCGCATTGGGCTCTGCTCAGTGGGGGAGCCCGTTTCCCCCTCTCTGTCTCTGCCTGCCTCTCTGCCTACTTGTGATCTCTAACAAATAAATAAAATCTTTAAAAAACAAAACGGGTGCCTGGGTGCCTCTGCCTTTGGCTCAGGTCATGATCTCAGGGTCCTGGGATCGGAGCCCCGCATCGGGCTCTCTGCTCAGCAGGGAGCCTGCTTCCCCTCTCTCTCTGCCTACTTGTGATCTCTGTCTGTTAAGTGAATAAATAAAATCTTAAAAAAAAAATAAAATAAAAAATAAACAAAACACTGAGTTCCTAGGATGTTGATTGGGAGCTAAATACATTATATATTTTTTGTATTTGAATGTTTTAAAACAAGCATACTATTTTTTAATGCAAATTTTTTTTTTTAAGACTTTATAATTTTTAAGTAATCTTATACCCAACTTGGGGCTCAGACTTAAAACCCGGAGATCAAGGGTTACATGCAGTCCCCAAGGAGCTTCCTGGGCTCCCGGGTTTTGGATTTTTTTTTTTTTTTAAAGAATACATTTTAACAGGTGTTGAATAAAATGCAACACCTAGGCGTAAAATCATAACAAAAACCATAAAAGAAGGCAACTTCCTTATTTTTTGCTTTATCTAAAATGAACGTATAAAAATATAATTAATAGAGTTAATCCCATTATATAATGTTAGCATACAGTGTTGTATTAATTTCAGGTGTACAGTGTAGTGCTTCAATTCCATACATTGATTTGCCTTTTTTTAATATATTTTTTTAAGATTTTATTTATTTATTTGACAGAGATCACAGGTAGGCAGAGAGGCAGGCAGGGGGTGGGGGAAGCAGGCTCCCCACTGAGCAGAGAGCCCAATGCAGGGCTTGATTGACCTGAGCTGAAGGCAGAGGCTTAACCTGCTGAGCCAACCAGGTGCCACCCCCCCCTTTCTTTTTAAATTCAGCATATGTATCTGGACGTTTTTTCTGTCTCTGAATGTAGAGATTATGACGGCCTTTTTAGTTTTGTTAAGTAAGCTCTACACCTGATGTGGGGTCTTGAACTCATGATCCTGAGATCAAGAGTCCCAGGCTCTACCAACTGAGCCAGCCAGGTACCCCATGACTTTTTATTTAAAGGCTTTTTGGTGTTTCATTTTATTGACACATACTAATTTAATCACTGCAGGAATTTTTCTCAAGTTTTCTTTTTTCTTGTAAAGAATATAAGGAATGTCTTGTTCCAGTGAAATCTTAACAAAATTGTACTTTTAGTTTTGTGACCCAAATTCTTAAATATTTTGGTATATTCCCTTTTAATAGTCTTGGCTTCATTCCTATGTATTTCAGGTCTACGGATCAATGGAGAACTAATAACTGCCTATCCCCAAGTGGTGGTAGTGAGAGTTCCAACCCCTTGGGTGCAAAGTGATAGTGACATAACTGTTCTGCGCCATTTAGAGAAGATGGGATGTCGGTTGATGAACCGACCTCAAGCCATCCTGAACTGTGTTAATAAATTTTGGACTTTTCAAGAGTTGGCTGGCCATGGTGTTCCTCTGCCAGATACTTTCTCTTATGGTAAGTTCACTAATAAGAATTTATAGCCCTAAATTTATAGAATTTAGTACTGAAAGCTGTACTAAATTAATAGGGTTATGTGATATAAGGAAATTGTGAACATGAAGGAATTTCTTATAGAAATAGCTTTCAGTCTTAAAAAATTGGGCCCAAGAATTATATATTCTGCGTTAAGATTTAATTCCATGATATTGTAGAATGGATTTAGCAAACTTTTTGTAAAGGGCCAAATAGTAAATATTTTGCACTTTCTGGGCCGTAAGTTCTCTCTTGTGACCCTCAGTAATGCTGCTGTAGTGTGAAAGCTGTGTTCCAGTAAAACTTCATTATAAAAAAAAGACACTGGACCAAATCTGTCTTAAAGGCCTTAGTTTGCCAATGCCATGGTGAAAGATAATACAATTTGGTGACATCTCTGTTTAATGTCTGATTATCCTTATCAGCATTTTCGTGGTAATTCTTCAAAAATTGTTTTCTTTTAAGAAAATGACAGTATTCTAGGTATACTTGAAAACCAGTGCTTCCAAAACTGTGTATGGTAAAGGTAAAGGGTCATTTTTTTTTTTTAAGACCAACATGCTGTGTTTCAGTACTTTTTTTTTTTTTTTTTAAGATTTTGTTTATTTATTTGACAAAGAGAGACACAGTGAGAGAGGGAACACAAGCAGGGGGAATGGGAGTGGGAGAGGGAGAATCAGGCTTCCTGCTGAGCAGGGAGCCCGATGCGGGGCTTGATCCCAGGACCCTGGTATCATGACCTGAGCTGAAGGCAGCTGCTTAACAACTGAGACATCCGGGTGCCCCTTTGGTTCAGTACTCTTATGAAATATGATAAAAATGTCTGAGCAATGCAAGATGGCTATAAAAGCTTCCAGTGCTACTCTTTTCATATTTATCTGATCACATATCAGTAGCGGAGAAGTTACAAGCAGGCACAGGTTACCGGACAACACTTTTGAGTAGCATTGCCATAAATAATACTATGTTAGTATATTTCCTGTCTGTCCAGTTCTTTTGTTTGGAAAGGATCAAACTTACTATAAATCATCACAATTTTCCATAAAGACAGTTCTTCAAATAAATGTTTAGTAGTGTTCTTGGAGAGTTAATGAGGCCTCTTAAAAAAAATTATTTATGAGTGAGAGAACACACACACGCACACACGTGTGGGGAGGAGCAGTTGGAAAGGGATGTGCAAACTCTGCACTGAGTGTGGAGCCCGACAAAGGGCTCAGTCTCATGACCCTGAGATCGTGACCTGAGCCAAAATTTAGAGTTAGACGCTTAACTGAGTCACTCAGGGGCCCAAACTTAAATATTTTACAGAAAGGAGCTCCCCAAGTCTGTATGGCATGTGTGGATACAGTTGCTGATTTTAGCAATTGCACAAGAAGAGACAATATGAATAGTTTGAGAATTCTGTCAGATGCTTTTGGGATCTAGCTTATATTAGGGGTCTATACTTCAGATTTCAGGAAAGTGGAAAGGAGAAAAGGGTTAAACAAATTAACAAATGTTACCTATACTCTAATGCTGAAGGTTTAAAATTAGGGGACAGATCATCTTAATGTCTCTAAGCTGCAAATGTATGATAATGAGTTGATTAATGAACTTTTTCCGGGTTAAATTATTTTTTTATTATTATTTTTTTTAATTTTATTTTTTATAAACATATATTTTTTCTCCAGGGGTACAGGTCTGTGAATCGCCAGGTTTACACACTTCACAGCACTCACCATTGGGTTAAATTCTTTTATATCACCATGAGTTTTTACAGCTGTAGTTTATTTTTGCTCTAATCTTGTTACTGTATCATTTGTTCTTAGGCAATAAAAACAGTAAAGGATAAAATTTAACTCATGGGTACTGGGTGGCTCAGTGTAGAAAGAACTGATTAATGGAGATAAGAAAAATTAATTTGTATGTTTCATGAGAGGGAGAGAACACAGGTAGCATCAACCTTGGATAAGTCTTGTAAACAGATTTACTCTTCTGTTTCTTAATCTAAACCGGGCAATGAGTACACTGAAGAAGAACTTGGTGCTTCTGTTATCTTGTGTAGCGGAAGAATGAGGGATAAAAATATAAGATACTGTATAGAATTAGGTAACTGAGAGGAAAGATAATTAATTTTTAAGTTTGATATTAGAATATTCATAGTTTAAGATAGCTTTCATCCTTTTTTTTAAAATAAGTGATTTTTTTTTTAAGGATTTTATTTATTTGACAGAGAGATCACTGGTAGGCAGAGAGGCAGGCAGAGGGAGAGGGAAGCAGGCTCCCCACTGAGCGGAGAGCCTGATTCGAGGCTCGATCCCAGGACCCTGAGATCATGACCTGAACCGAAGGCAGAGGCTTAACCCACTGAGCCACCCAGGCGCCCCCTTTCATCCATTTTAAAAGGGGTTATTTTAAACTAGTATTTAACTGTCCTTACAGCTTTTTTTTTTAATATTTATTTATTTATTTATTTATTTATTTATTTGACAGAGAGAGAGTGAGAGCGATTACAAGTAGGCAGAAGCTGACAGAGAGAAAGGGGGAAGCAGGCTCCCCGCTGAGCAGAAAGCCTGATGTGGGGCTTGATCCCAGGACCCTGAGATCATGACCTGAACCGAAGGCAGAGGCTTTAACCCACTGAGCCACCCAGGCACCCCTCCTTATAGCTTTTTAAAGTAGGCTCCATGCTGTGCATGGGGCTTGAATTCAGAACTGTGAGATCATGAGGTCAAGACCTGACCTGAGATCAAGAGTTGGATGTTTAACTGCCTGAGCCACCCAGGCAGTTTTAACTTTTCTTTTCTTTTCTTTTTTTTTTTTTTTTAAGATTTTGTTCATTTATTAGCGTGTGAGAGAGAGTGAGCAGTTGGGAGAGGGAGGAGCAGACTCCCAACTGAGCAGGGAGCCTGATGCGGTGCTCAATCCCAGGACCCCAGGATCATGTCCTGAGCCAAAGGCAGATGCCCAACTGACTGAGCCACCCAGGCGCCCCAGGCACCTGTCAACTTTTAATAACTTTCTTTAAGAAAAACAAAATTTAGCCATCATGTTCTTAACCTTCTACCTCCTCTGTGTTGTTGACTTTAGTATAGATAAAACTTACCACAAAACACCTGTGTTACTTTTCTTAATTTCTTTTTTGTTCAAACCAGGCGGTCATGAAAATTTTGCTAAAATGATTGATGAAGCAGAAGTACTGGAGTTTCCAATGGTAGTGAAGAATACACGAGGTCATAGAGGTGTGTATGAATTGTTCCTAGGCTACATCATTTTGAAATTACTCTTGAGAATTAATAAGGTTGATTATACAAAACAAATTTTTCTTAATCTGATCAATGTTATTATTATTTTTTTTGTATTTCCTATGGTTATTGACTAGACAGTAGTTTTACCAGTTGAAATACATAGCTTTTGAAGGACTTTGGGAGAATAAAGGGAAATGGTTGGTGCATGGTACTTCAGGCTTCTGGAAGTCTGTTTTGGCTAGAAGCTATTTCTATTCATTTAATGGTTGTCCTGTAGATTTTAAGGTGCGTATTTAATTTACACCAACTTTCAAATTATATCTTTATCTTCCTCTTTAATAATGCAAGGACCTTAGATCACTAATTCCAGTGATCCCTGTCCCAATTTATATAGTTTGAAGACTTAAGTATATAAAGTAAAGCTATGAAGCTATAGAAGAAAGTGTATAAAGATACCTTAATGACTTCAGAGTAAGGATTTCCTTTTTTTTTTTAAGATTTTTATTTATTTGACAGAGAGTACAAGTAGGCAGAGAAGCAGCCAGAGAGAGAGGAGGAAGCAGGTTCCCCGCTGAGCAGAGAACCCGATGCGGGGCTCAATCCCAGGACCCTGAGATCATGACCTGAGCTGAAGGCAGAGGCTTTAACCCACTGAGCCACCCAAGCGCCCCCAGAGTAAGGATTTCTTAAGGCATAAAATTGTCATGAATCCAAGTACTTCATAAAGCTTAATGCCTTGACAGTATGACAGCCAAGAAGTCTTAGGGCTCCACTGAGAGGCTCCCGTGAACACAGAAGCTGCATGATCTCTTATGAATTAGCCTCAGAAGTCATACAGAAAAGGTTCTGCTGTGTTCCGTTGTTTGAAGCAATCACAGGCCCGCCTTGATTCAAAGGGAAAGGACAAAGATACCCCCCTCTTCTCGGTGGGAAGAATGTCAAAGGATTTATACCCTTTTTTTTTTTTTAAAAAAAAGGATTTTATTTATTTATTTATTTGAGAGAGAGAAAGAGAGAGAGATCATAAGCGGGCACTGGGACAGAGGAAGAGAGGGAGCCTAATGCAGGGCTGGATTCTAGGATTCTAGCATCATGACCTGAGTTGAAGGTAGATACTTAACTGACTTAGCCACACAGGTGCCCCACACCCATGTTTGAAAAATAGCCACTTGTGGGCACCTGGGTGGCTCAGTGGGTTAAGCCTCTGCCTTTGGCTCAGGTCATGATCTCAGTGTCCTTGGATGGAGTCCTGCATCAGGCTCTCTCCTCAGCAGAGAGCCTGCTTCCCCTCCCTGCCTACTTGTGATCTCTCTCTCTGTCAAATAAATAAATGAAATCTTAAAAAAAAAAAAAAAGCCAGCCACTTGCTTTGGCACCAAAATTGACAAATACAGTAATGGAATTGATTAGTGAACTCAGAAATAAAACTAGGTATGTAGTAACATACTGCTATTTTTTTCTATGCAAATGTTACATATATTGTATAATAATATATGACTCATTTTTACTCAGAGGGAAATGTTACGTTAATAAATTAGGCTGGCATTATTGGCTGACCTGGAGGAATACAAATGTTAGACCCCTGCTTTATGACATATACCAAAATAAACTCTAGATTACTGTAGGAATTAAGGGAGTGGTAGGAGAGAATTAACTTTATACACATTTTTGCATTGTTTCACTCATTACCATAACTGTTACTTAGGTTAAAAGGTAATAGATTCTGAAAGAGCAGGTTGAGACTCAAGAAGATGCAGGTGGTGCACATCCAACTGTGAGCAGTTTGACTTACATATATTTTTTATTCGTTTTCAACCACAGGCAAAGCGGTTTTCTTGGCTCGAGATAAGCACCATTTGGCTGATCTAAGCCATCTTATTCGCCATGAAGCTCCATACCTGTTCCAGAAGTATGTTAAGGAGTCTCATGGACGGGATGTCCGTGTCATTGTTGTGGGAGGCCGTGTGGTTGGCACCATGTTACGTTGTTCAACAGATGGAAGGATGCAAAGCAACTGCTCACTAGGTAAAAACAATACAGGTGTCTTTCTAGTATATATAATACTATAGCTTCTCCAGTGAGTATTCATATGTAACTACAGGTAACTTAAGATAAACTTAAGTTTAAAAACATTGTCTTTCACTTGTAACTATGATCAGTAGTTATAATATAATTATATTATTATATGAATATAATAAATATACTTTTGAGTTGTTTTCTAATAATAAAATTGGTTTTCTCTGAAACATAAATTTGCTTTTTACCCATGCTCAATTTTTTTTTATGTTTTTTTTTGAGATTTTATTTACTTATTTGACAGAGATTACAAGTAGGCAGAGAGGCAGGCAGAGAGAGAGGAGGAAGCAGGCTCCCTGCTGAGCAGCGAGCCTGATGTGGGGCTCGATCCCAGGACCCTGAGATCATGACCTGAGCCGAAGGCAGAGGCTTTAACCCACTGAGCCACCCAGGCGCCCCTACCAATGCTCAATTTGTAACCCAGTTCACACTTGTATGAAATGTCTGACCAGAGTTAAAGATTCCATCTTTGGTGATAATACTTAATTTGCATGTAATTATAGTTCACTCAGGCTGGGTCCTAACCTGTTTTACCCATTGGTCAAAACAAGATTACTGCTTTTGATTTACTTTACTGTGTATTTTCTTGATCTCTTATTGTTAAAGTACCTTAGAACTTAGTCTGGGATTTTTCCCTGTGTATTTCGTTTCCTTAGTCATCTGATCTGGATCGTGACTTTAAATACTATCTGTGTTGTTATTTTCAAATTTATATCTCCATCTTGGGCTTTCTTTCTGAATTCCAAGTACATAAAAATAGCTGCCTGTTCAGTTATCTACCAGTAGTTGCATAACACAATCCTGTCCAAAAGTGAACTCCCCATAAAACTCCCCTTCCCAGTGTATTTCATCCCCAGTTTTCTCCTTATCATGTAACGGCAACTCTGTCTCTCCAATTTAGACCAAAATCTTTAGTCTTCAAGTCTTACACTACAAATCAAAACTGTCAGATTTCAGTTTCTTTATTTCTACTCTCAAAGTGTATCCAAATCTGACAATTTCTCATTATCACTGCCATTAATATTGTCTTACCATACTTGGATTACTTGTAGTAGCCCCTAATTGGTTGTTTTGCTTCCATCCTTACTCTCTTACAGTCTAACACCGCAGTGATGTGATAGATCTTTTTAAAATACATCTCAAGTCAGGCTTTATTTAAAATCCTCCAGTGGTTCCTTGTTTCATTCAAAGTAGAGTAGTCTGTAGTGGTCTTACAGTAGACTAACAGTCCCTGCATGGTTTGACCCCTAGTTATCACTGAGATCTACTACAGCAGTAAATCTCAGAAACATAATGTTGAGTCAAAAAATGAAAGTCTTAGAAGAGAATACCTATAGTATTCCATTTATATAAAATTTAAATATATGTAAAATCAGTCAAATTTTGCTGGGAATATAAATTTATACAGTAAAGTGTAAAGAAAAACAATATTGACAAGTGTGAAATTCAGCATAGTGCCATAGAATAGGAGCACAGGGAATTTGAAAGGTGATCATGATATAAAGCCTCTTTTGTATTCTTGAAAAAATAATTTCTGCCTCCTGGCATTAGTTCTTCATATCCCATTTTCCGTCCCATCATATTATGCTTATTAGCAGCTGCAGAGCTGAATGGCATCTTTTCATTTCTTGGACACCTTTACCTTCTTACTTTTCTACCGTGAAATTAAATTAACAATTTTTATGCTTTAAGCAAAGAAATTACAAAGGTAAGTTAATTATATATTAAGTAATACTTTTTAAATTTTGAAGTAACTGAGAATTACAGGAAAGTATGAAGGATAATATAAAGGATTTGTTTGTACACATTAACCAGCTTGCAAAATAAGTTGTTGATTTAGTTCTCTGTTGACTCCCTTTCCTGCTCATTTCTCCCTCTCCTCCCCAAGCTCTGAACTTACTGTTTCTCTTTCCCTTAAACGTATTTTCAGTTCTTCTGTCTTCCTAAGCAAGATATTATTTCGTATGTTATAAAACTTTATATAAATGATTTATAACGATATATATATATATATATTTCAAAGATTGTATTTATTTATATGAGAGAGAGAGCATGAAAAGGGAGAAGACAGAGAGAGAAGCAGACTCCCCGCTGAGCACGGAGCCCGATTCAGGACCCTGATCCTGGGACTCTGATCCTGGGACTCCAGGATCATGACCTGAGCTGAAGGCAGTTGAACCAACTGAGCCACCCAGGCACCTCCCCTCCCTTTTTTTCCACTTAGCCTCATTTTTGAGATTCATCTATCCAACATTTTAGCAGTAGTTGACAGATTTTGCCTGCTGCATAATTTTACCTTTTGACTGCTTCCAATATGGGCCTTTTATAAGCAGTGTTGCTATGAAAATTTTTTTGTGTCTTTAGATACAGGCCCAAGAGCGTTTCTAGGTTAACCCATTCACTCAAAAGTGGGATTTCTGTATCCTAGTGAGTTATACAACTTCACCTTTACTAGATATTACCAAATCAGTGTCCCGAGTCATTATATGTTTCTTATAGTGCCACCTTTTTGCCAACTTGGGATATTGATAGACTTTAAACATTTTGTCAGCCTGGTGTGATGGTATATCATGTTATTTTAATTTGTACTCCTAACCCTATCCAGCTATCTTTTCTGAATTGCCTGTTGAGGTCTTTGACCTCCTTTATTATTGGGATTTTTTTGTTTTGTTTTGTTTTTTTTAGTATGGCTTGGAAAAGTGTCTTTTATGTACTTCAAATCCTTCATCATTTACATGAATTGTAAATGCAGTTTTTCATCCCAGCTTATGATATCTCATCTTTTTTTTTTCTTCCAAAGATTTTATTTATTTTAGAGAGAGAGGGGAGTCCAGAGAGAGAAGCAGATTCCCCGCCCAGCAGGGAGCCCAACCATCCCAGGACCCTGAGGTCTGGACCTGAGCTAAAAGCAGCTGCTTAACCGATTAGGCCCCCCTCAGGCACTCCTCATCTTTTTTGGCTTATATATTTTAGTGAATAGAAATTTACAGTTTTAGTATCAAGCATATTCATGGTTTTCTTTACATTATTTTTTATTAAAGAAATTCTTTTTCACCCTATGGTTGTATTCTATTCTTATTACAGCTCTCTAAAATTTTTTGAAGTTTAGCTTCCATGTTTAGGTTGTTAAGCAACCAGAAATTGATTTTGTTCTTCAGTGTAAGGTAGAGATTCCCATTTTCTTTTTTCCAAATGAGTAACACCTGGTTTTCCCAACACTATTTATTGAATGGCCTGTTCATTACTGATTTATAATGCCATCTTTCTTCTGTTTCAGGGTCCTATGGTCTGTTACATACTCTTCATTCCCTGTATGATTAGCAATCTAAATTCCTCTACCATTATGCCTACTGTCTGGTAGAGCAAGAGTATCTCTGCCTTATTCTCTGAAATTGAATGCCCTCATTATTCTGTCCCCAGGGAGGCCTTTTTTTTTTTTTTTAAATAATGCTGATATTTATTTTTCCATCTTTATTGAGATATAATTGACATATAACATTGTGTAGTTTGAAATGTACAACATAGTGATTTTATATATGTATGTATTGCAAAATGATTACCACAATAATATTAGTTAACACATCCATTACTTCATTTATTACTGGTGTGTGTGTGGTGAGAACTTTAAAAAAAAAAACTACTCTCAGGACGTGTGGGTGGCTCATTCCGTTAAGTGTCTGATTTTTGATTTTTGGCTCAGGTCAGTATCTCAGGGTTGTGAGATCAAGCTCCATGTTGTGGGGCTCTGTGCTTGGCAGGGAGTCTCCTTCTCTCACTCTCTTTGAAATAAATAAGATAAATCTTTAAAAAAATCTACTTTTAGCAATTTTCAAATACATAATATAGTATTATTAACAATAGTTATCATTCTATACATTATATCCCCAGAAGTTATTTATTTTATAACTGGAAGCTTATACCCATTGACCACCTTCACCCATTTCCCCTGCCTTTCCCCTACCCCCATTCTGGCAACCACCCAATCTGTTATGTGTTTCTGTGAGCTTGTTTGTTTGTTTAATTCCACATATAATCATACAGTATTTGTCTTTCTCTGACTTTTTTCACTTAGTATAATGCCCTCAATATTTATCCATGCTACAAATGGTAGGATTTCTTTTTTTTTTTTAATGGCTAAAAAAAAATATTCCTTTTGTGTGTGTGTGTATCTCGTATATTTTTAAAAAGATTTTATTTATTTATTTGACAGATCACAGGTAGGCAGAGAGGCTGGTAGGGAGAGAGGGGGAAGCAGGCTCCCTGCTGAGCAGAAAGCCTGATGAGGGGCTCGATCCCAGGGTCCTGAGATCATGACCTGAGCTGAAGGCAGAGGCTTAACTCACTGAGCCACCCAGGTGCCCCTGTATCTCACATTTTAAAAATATTTATCATTGCAATGTAGTGGACATACTAGTTTCAGGTGTACGACACAGTGATTTGATAATTCTGTAAATTATTTGGTGTTCACCACAATAAGCATAGTAATCACCATATAACATTATTACAATGTACTGACTATATTCTTCATCTATACCTTTATCTCCATGACCTATTTATTCATTTATTGATTTTTTATAAAGATGTACACATGTTTGCATGGGAGGGTGGGTGGAGAAGAGGAAGGGAGGAAAGGAGATCCTGGGGGCTCAATCTCATGAACCCAAAATCACCTGAGCTGAAACCAGTTAGGTGCTTAAGGACTGTGCCCCCCAAGTGCCTCCATGACCTCTTTGTTTTGTTTTATTTTATTTTATTTATTTATTTATTTATTTATTTAAGATTTTATTTATTTGACAGACAGAGATCACAAGTAGGCAGAGAGGCAGGCAGAGAGAGAGGGGGAAGCAGGCTCCCTGCCAAGCAGAGAGCCCGATGCGGGCCTCGATCGCAGGACCCTGGGATCATGACCTGAGCTGAAGGCAGAGGCTTTAACCCACTGAGCCACCCAGGCGCCCCACCTCCTTGTTTCATAATTGGAAGTATGTACCTCTTAATCCCCTTCACCTATTTTACCCAGCCCCCACCCTCTCCCCTTTGGCAGCAGGTTGTTCAGAGGCCTTTTTTTAATATGAATATCCTCTTACATTCAATATTTACAGTAAAAGTAACTATACCTCTCAAGTTCTGGTACTGTAGTAAGTTCTTAATGACTATTAACTTCTTTAGGTATTGCTAGGTATTGTTAGTATTCCCATTTTATTTCAGAGATGAGGAAGGCCCAGAACAGTTAAGTAACTTGCTTGAGATAACAGATCTAATAATGGTGCAGCCAGAATGCAAATGTACTATTTGGCTCCAGAGTTGTGCTCTTAACAACTCTTTGAATATGTTGATTTCCAAAATTGAAAAAATTACATGGATTACAGATACCATTTAGATTTCCAAGTAAATTACATGAATTTAGCTTTTTTTTTAAACTGTTAATCTGTGTGCCTCTGTACTCTTCTTAATGTTTATTAACTATAATATGATCTCAGTTATGTGTAATTATGTAGGCACATCTGATGGATAGTTAACTAAATGTTAGATAATTATGGTTAGTACTGGAAATGAGCTTTCAAGCTATTTTGGCAAAGACTTTTGATTTTTCCATAATGAATAGGTTTTGGTCAACTTTAAAACATTTTAGTTTTATACACAGAAATAATTCATAAAATTATTTAATAATTTTTCATCCTCCCCCCTAATTTTCCTTACCTCTTCTACTCCTTTCACCTACTGTGTACATCTGTCCCTTTATCCATTTGCTCTTATTTTCAGTTTTTTGCCACTGTGAGCATTTACTTTAAATACATATCTTTGTGAATAATGCTTTTACATACTGGTACTTTTGTGTTGAGGAGTCTCAAGATTAGTATTGCTGGGTCACAATATTTTAATTGTTAGAGATGTAGCCAGATTAATTTACCAGAAGGCAAGAAGTGTATTTCTACATCTAACATATTAAAATACCTTTTTTCCTCTCCCCCTCATAAGAACTCTTACTTTTTTTGTCTTAAGTTTTTGCCCATTTAATGGAAGTTAAATACTATCTCACTGTTACTTTAATTTTTTTTAAAGATTTATTTTTTATTTTTTATTCATTTATTTGAAGAGAGACAGAGATTACAAGCAGGCAGAGAGGCTGGCAGAGAGAGGAGGAAGCAGGCTCCCCACTGAGCAGAGAGCTTGATGTGGGGCTCATCCCAGGACCCTGAGATCATGACCTGAGCTGAAGGCAGAGGCTTAACCCATTGAGCCACCCAGGTGTCCCTGTTATTTTAATTTTATTTCCCTGTTAATGATGGGCATATTTTTCATAGCTTCTTGGTAATTTATATGTACATCTATATGAATTGCTTTTTATCATATTTGTCATCTCTTTTTGTTTAACATTTTCAATAACCACTAAATGCCTGCTACAGAGCCCTCCTCCTCTAATCTCAGTTGAACAACCCAAAATGCCACATTTCAGTTTCTGAATTCTCCCCCTTTTGAGAACCACTGCTTGAGAACCTCTAGAACAGTGTTAAGTAATGATTTTAAGTATCTAAGTTTATGATTTTCATTGAGATTGTTTAATGTTTTGCTATTTAGAATATTTAAGTAGCTTCATTCTCCTAGAGTTTTTAAGTAGGAATGATTGTCTAATTTTATCCTATGCCTTTTGGAATCCTTGTATTGATAAAATCATTAGTGTGTTTTCCACCTTTAATTTCTTGATGCGTAATGGATTATGTTGATAAATTTTAAATTTAAAACGGTTTTTGAACTATTCTTGCATTTCTAGAATAAACCTTTAAATAGGTATTAGCATATTTTAAAATTGGGATTCCTTTAGTATTTTATATAAAATATTTACATCTGTTTTAATAATTGAAGATTGGTCTGTAATGTTACTTTTTAAAATGTCTTGATCACTTTTAATATCAAGGTTATATAACATTGGTTTTAGTCAGTGTATTGGAATTTTCAGTCTTTTCCTAGGGCATTCTACAGGTAAAGTTGACATCGGAATAAAGGATAGCTAAAGACAACTCCACTTTGAACCCATCAGGTCCTGATTCTTTTTGTAGAAGTAGCTCATCTATCGCCTTTTCCGTCTCTTCTGTAATATTAGTTGGCCTGTTTAATAAAGTTTGCTTCTTCTTTGATGAGTATTGGTGATTTCTCATTTGCTTAGAAATCAGCCATTTGTTTTAGGTTTCAGTCTCAGTTTCATGAGCTGATTGCTTATGTTTACTTGAATTTCTCTTTTGTCTGCAATTCTTTGATATCATTCATAATTTTGTCAAAGTAGCATTTGGATTTTTTTCTCCTTTCTATTTTTTTCTATTCTAGTCATTCAACCTTTTATTAAAACTTTCTTTTTATTTTCTTTTTCTAAAAGTACTTAATTTCTTCTTTCTAATTTCAAAATAAAAATTTTGGTATGAAGTGTTTTTACAGATGGTATTTATTTTCCTTTAATTTAGGGAATCAGTGTTCCAATTTCTAAGTCCTTTTTGGTTACTCAAGTCATTAATTTCTAATTTCTAATCTTGCGTTATTGTCAGAGAGTGTTGCCTGTAAAAAGTGTTTTATAATGTGTTGGGGCGCCTCAGCTCGGTCGGCTGAGCGTCAGATTCTTGGTTATGCTCGGTTCCTAATCTCAGGGTTGTGAGATCCCTCGCTGAGCTGAGCATGGGGCCTCCTCAGGATTCTTTCTCTCCCTTTCCATCTGTCCCAACCCCCCACTCACAAACTCTCTCTTTCTCTTTAAAAAAAAAAAGAGTTAAGGTTTTGTTTGTTTTGGGCAAAAATGTGATTGATTGTTGTCAATATTTGATAAAGGAAAAATGGGTATATGGATATATACTATAAGGCTCTTAAGTGAAGTTTGTTTTTGCCTTTGTCCCTCATCTCTTTCCCCATCCCTTTAGTTTTCAAAAATTTTTTCATTTGGTACAGGATATAGATAAATTTTGTCTTTTTTTTTTTTAATTTATTTGATAGCAAAGATCACAAGTAGTCAGAGAGGCAGGCAGAGGAAGCAGGCTCCTCGCTGAGCAGAGAGCCCGTTGCGGGGCTCAATCCCAGGACCCTGAGACCATGACCTGAGCCGAAGGCAGAGGCTTTAACCCACTGAGCCACCCAGGCGCCCTGATAAACTTTGTCTTTTATACTGTGGGAAATTTCAGTTTGTTTTTAGTGTAATTGCCAATATAATTCATTTTATTCTTTCAGTTTTATTTCATGTTCTCTGGTTTGTAACCTACCATTAATTCCATTTCCACCCCTGATCCCAAACTTGGTCAATCTGGATGCTCATCCATGGTTTTACATTCCTTTAATGGTTAACTTCTCTTTCCCTGTGCTTAAATCAGACACTTATTTCCTCCTATTATTTGAGAAGGTAACAGTTTTTCCCTGATACTCTCCGCTTTCTGCTCTCCTCTGTCTTCATAAAAATATGAAGTCTTTAGAATACCTTCGCCTCAATCCGTATTGTTTCAAGTAAAACAGGTTTCTGTGAAAGTTTAATGCCATCTTCAGAATAGCATATTGAAAAAGTACTAAGTTATTTCTTTGACTGAATTGGACAGAGATTCTCTAATGAAGGAAACTTAGACTTAGGAAGTCACAGTGGTACAGTAGAATGTCACATTTGTTATCACTACTGATTTAAAAGAAAATTAACATTAGAGGCAAGCTTTAGTTTTACTCCAGAAATTTATCATTTTGGTAACTTACCTTGTTTCTTTTTTGCCAGGTGGTGTGGGGATGATGTGCTCTTTGAGTGAACAGGGGAAGCAGCTAGCTATCCAGGTGTCTAATATCCTGGGGATGGATGTGTGTGGCATTGACCTATTGATGAAAGATGACGGCTCCTTCTGTGTCTGCGAGGCCAATGCAAATGTAGGTTTCATCGCCTTTGATAAGGCTTGTAATCTAGATGTAGCTGGTATCATAGCGGACTATGCCGCCTCCCTCCTGCCCTCTGGCCGGCTCACCCGGCGTATGTCCCTGCTCTCCGTGGTGTCCACGGCCAGTGAGACTAGTGAGCCGGAGCTGGGTCCCCCAGCCAGCACTGCTGTCGACAACATGAGCGCAAGTTCCAGCTCTGTTGACAGTGACCCTGAAAGCACCGAGCGAGAGCTGCTCACCAAGCTCCCAGGGGGCCTGTTCAACATGAACCAGCTGATAGCCAATGAGATCAAACTCCTGGTGGAGTGACTCCACCGGTAAATAATTACCAACAACTCCCTTGTAAAACTCACTTTCTTTTTCTTCTTTTTTCTTTCTTTCTTTTTTTTTTTTTTAACCAACTTGCAATGCTGTTCATGGAAGGTACTCAGGAAGATGAGAGAAAATTGAGTAGAGTTAGTCAGGAGAGAAGCAAGGGGAGCTAGATTAGACCTCTGCTATTAAGATGTTACTGACTTTCATTTACAGATACCACAGATAGAATGGCAGAAGAGGTGAGACACAGAGAAGTGTCAGGCTTTTATACTTACCCTTTTAAATTACTCAATGTGTATGTTCTCAGGCCATGAAGAACACAGTTTTGTTCACGGCCCCTTTTGCTTTTGTACAATTGCTACAAATTTTGGCATAGCGTAACTTCACATTACGTTGCAAAGATTTGTAATGAGAGAGGAAAAGATCTACCTAAATTATAGGAATTTTTACAGATCTGAGAATTCTGCCTCTACCATATTAACTAGCAAGTTTATGTTCATAGTTTATGAAGTCTTGAGGTGCTCTTTTACTGGAATTTTATTATTTCTGTTTTTTGGTTTTCCTTTAATTTGGGTGGGAGGGCAACATTGATATAATCCAATAAAGGTTTCTTAATGACAGAATTGGCATTTTCGTATGATGAAAGGGAAATGAACAGTATTGCAATGTGTGGTACACAAAATGACATTTATTCCAATGTAGATAAAATTACACTAGTTTAAAATATGTGCGTTGACTTGTATTTGTTAGTGTTTTAATCTTTTTTGAAAGATATATGCTCTGTTAATGTTGCAATTTTTTTTTAATACATGCTAGTCTAACATTCCCTGATCTATGCCTGCATCTTTAACAATGGCCAAAGTGAAGAAAGTGCTACCTTTTTTGTTAACAAGACACTGACTTGAAACATGTGCATTTAAAGCCTTTTCCTTTTTTTCTTTTGGTGGTTGGGCATTTAAAGTATAAGGACAAGGAAAAATATTTTTGGGGGGCAGATTAAGGGCCTATAAGTTCTTAAGTATAAAGCTGAAGTGATTTTATAATACCAGCATTATATATTTGCATTTTTCACATTTTAGGAGGGAGTATATATATATGTGTGTGTGTGTGCACGCATGCATGTGTATGTGTTTTGCTTTTTGTTTACACCAACCAGTCAAAAAAGGATAGAGTCTAGAAAATGGAGCATGATGGGAAACACAGTTTTTATTTTAAATATCAGATAACTTGTTTTAATAACTACACTGGGTTAGAGGTACTCACTAAAGACATAAAGAGACTAGATGCTTCTTAGGCCTTTTTATGTATATGTATGTTGTTTGGTTTTTTCTTTGGTTCTAAACTGTTCAGTGTATGATTTCTTTAAGGCTACATGCTTTTCTATGCTTCTGGCTGTGCATTTTCTCCTATTATACAGAGGTTTTAGGGTGGGGTGGGTTGGACGTTTTTGTTTGGGGACTTATTTTGCAGTATTAAGTCTCTTATAGCCCAACTCTGAAGCCTTCAGTACTGTCCACTCTTTATATTCCTTTAATTTCTGAATTTATAAAAGCCCCCAAATGGCATATAACATGAGCCTTTAAAACATGGGTAAATCTATTTGAATAATGGGTTTGGAAGCTGTGTTAAGAAATGGAGATGCTCCAGAGCTCAACGTAATTTTTTTTAAACAGCAAGTTCCATCTTACTGCAATCCTCTGAAGCTTTTACCCGAGTCCTTTCTTGCCTCTCCAGTGCTTTTTTCCTTCAGATGGACCTTAAACATAATTTCTTGGACACTACTAGAGAGACTTCGAGGCAATAATAAAAGATCAGTACTAACCAGCTCTAACAGAGGTTTGATCATGCTTGTACAGTTTTGCCCCCATTTTAAAAAGGAATGTAATAAAATTTGTTTTTTTTTTCCATAGAATTAAATAATATTAAAGTTGAGTGAAAGGTTGATTGTTGGCAAATAGAATAGTACCTCTAATCTGTGCAGTGTTTCATTTCACCTCAAAAAGATGATAATAAGAAGATTTTCTAATTTATTTTAGGATATCCTAATCTCATATAAAAGAGTTTGACTTGCATAGGGTTTTTTTTGGCCTTAATGTATGTTTATAAGTACCTCTGACTCATTAACAGAAAGAAATACTTGGTACTTCTTTCACTGAATGACCATAGGAGGATGCATATTTGGGATAGAGAAATAAATGAGGGAGAAAGAAGTGCTTAATTAAGTCATTCATATGATTGTGTAGAGAGCTTTGGTTGTCACATAAATTATGATACATTAAATACTTACATATATCACATGTATATAGATTTGCAAATTTTAAAACATTAATAGAACACCCTCTCTACTTGATGAAAAGCTCAGGGGTTTGTGTTGGGTGGGATAAGGTATCAGGAAAAATGTAGATAGCCTTTAAAACTATTTTACCAAACTAACCATATACAATTATAAGATTATTTCACCTTTAGTTTTATTCACTACTGATCAATGTTTTGTGCATTCACACTATATTAAAACATAGCTTTACCAACCTATTTCTGGATTTGTACACACACGTTAGAATAAAGAGGTTAGGAATGATCATCTTAGAGTTTAAAAACGTGAATATCTTCTTGAACTCCCTCAAATTAAGGTAAAGAATATGAACAAATCATTCTGGAAGAACCCAGATGAAACACCCCAGATATTTAAGTGAAAGTTAAATATATTTTCATATTGTTTAATAACTTGTATAATCTTCATTGCTATTATGAGAGGTAAAAATGTATTTATCAATTATGTGTAATTCTTATGCCCAAATCTGAATTATTGTAAAATTGTGTATTGTTTAAAAATTGTAATTCTTAATTGTATTTTAAAAGTAATTCTGATACTGTTTTTATGTTACCTATGATGAAAACTGGACTACATACACATGTGCACATACACACACACACACACACACACACACGACCTATTCATTTAAAATTTTTAATAGTTTTTTTCTTTTTTTGGTGCCTAATAATTGATTGGTCATTTCTGCTGACTTTTGCTCCACTGAACTTTGAAATCTTTCTGTATATGCTATCAATAAGAAAATATGCTGGAACATTAGAAAAAAATCACCAAGAGACTTGTTTTCATCAAGCACTTTATCAGACTTTTAAGAAGGTGTCGAAGGCATTGAAAGAATTGACTTTTCAAAATCATCTCTTCTTTTTCTCAAGAAGAAAACAGTGGAAAAACAAATTCTCCTCATTCAGTGAATCCCCAGTTTGGGGTCGGGGGAGCGTAGAGACATTGTGAAATCAAATCTTGTGTTACATTTTTCTCCTGGCTCACTCTTTTTGAGAAGGTTTATGGGCTATATGGCTGGTGAGACACGATCCCCTCCTAAGAAAATGTAGGTGCTCAGACAGGTAACCTCTGCTGCTACTGTTTTTATTTGTTTGTTTGTTTGTTTAATTTCATTTAAAATTTGTTTTTGTTGTACTAGGATATTTTAAATGTAATATATTGCAGGATTTATAACCAGGTTCACTGCTTTCTTTCTTTCTTTTTTTTTTTTTTTTCCCTTAAAAAAAAAACCAACAACAAAGTTTCATTTAAGATACATTTAGGCGCCTTTGAAGCTTGGATTTTGGAATGTTTCAGTAGTGGCCAGAAATCTGCTGTTGGAATCTTCTAGTCTTCCAGGTTTAATTTGAAATGTTTTTAGTTTTGTTTTGGATTTTTGTGTGGTATTTTATTTCCTTTATATCAGTGCCCTTTTGCCATGCTGTTTTGGGGTGGCTGCCTAACTCTAGTGAAAATTCTTTCTATATTAACGGAAGTTTGGTGTTTTAAATTCCTTAATGTTTTGCATTTTTTAAAATTGTTTTTAAAGAAATATTCTAACTGCTTGCACTGTTACTGTTCTTTGCCAGCCTTTTCAGGAGCCAAAAAAACAAAAACAAACAAACAAAAAAATACCCAGAGAAAAAACTTTCCTTCTTCCCCCTTCCTGATGATGAGTGAGAAGTATTGAGAACTTTCGGGGTCAGTGCCCTTCTAAACTCCCCTTCCCCCAATAATGCAGCTGTATAATGAATGGTAAATGCAGCGGTTTGGATTCAGGCACAGCCCCAGCCTGCTTGCAGGTAATTTGATTCTCCTTTCTTTCCATCGCAAGGCTAACTTTACTTTCTTTTTAAAGTTTTTTCTTTCTTTATGTACTTTAAAGGCAACCATGGATTTGTAAAAACTCTTGTATAGAAAATAATGCATAAGTATATCTAACAAATAATTTGATTAAAGAAGAACTTTTGGGGGTAAAGTTTGAAGTGGTTGGGATGAACTCAGGACTTTGGGGATTTACTTTAGCCATTTAGATAATTCCATTCCTTGCTTATATGTCTATAATTAAGTATTTCAGAGTGTGACTTTTGGCTTTGTTTTTGTTTTGGGTTTGTTTGTTTCTTCCATTGTGCTACTCTGGCTTAAGCTTTTTCAGGGGTTGGTGTTCGGAATACACAGTGAGCTCACAGTATAAAGACATCAATTAGGAGTTGACAGGTATGGAAAACTAGAGTTTTGAAAAGGTAAAATTAGGTTCTAGGTTATATATATGGTAAAAACTCACCATAGTGTTGAGTTGATCTTAGTGCTTCTCTTTCTGTGACATCATGAAAGTGAAAAGGAATGATGAGACAAAGATAATAGCATTTCAGTTATTTTAGGAACAGTGTGATCTTAGGAACTAATCATTTTAGTATTTCTAAGACACTAGTTCTAACAAAGAGGTAGATATGAACAGTTTCAGGTTATCATAATGGTTCATATTTTTAAAAATCACAGGTTCTAACAGATTGGAGGGCATTTCTGAAGCACAAATCATTAAGCCCATTAACTATAAAATATAAAACAATAAGGCTATAAAATATAAAACAAAGTTAGTGGCAGGAATAGCAATACAACTTGTCCATTTTAATATAGCCTTTCTGTTACTTAATGTAGTATACCTTTCTCTGTCTACACCAGTCCCTTGCCCTTTCCTCTTTTCTCCTCCTGTCTTTCCCAAAGTTTTAGTTCTAATATGAGTTGTTATCATTGGGAAGATAATCTACCCCCCCACCCCCACCCCGCTGTTAGGTAGAACTTTAGTGACAGTGATCAGGACCTTTTCAGGATAGACTTCTGCACAATTTTATTCTGTGACTTTAGATGTCCTATCTGAAGAGGTTTTAAGTTCACTAGTTAGCTAATAGGATATCATGGCTTGTTATGCATTTTACAGCTGAAGGCATAAAATTAATCATTAACCTGTTTTGTGCTTCAATTCACTCATATAAGATAGGGCCATCTCTTCCCTAAACATCCTAAGACAAAAATATGTATGTGTTGAAGTAAAATTTACTAACAGAGGAATCCCAACTGCCTCCTGAAGGAATTTATGATATATACTAAAAAGGGCTTGTACCAGAGAACCTTGTTCTCTTGCTAAGAATGGCAAGCATTAGAATGTGTGGACTATGTGATTGTGTGGGACTTGGAGAATTTAACAGTCTCCATTCAGCTTCCTCATGAAGGTCACGGACTTGTTAAGAACGGTCTTGCTTTCAGATTTCATCATATTCAAACTTATTAGCTGGGCCTTATATAGCATATATACCTGGCTGCTACTGTGGGGTTTGGGAACATGAGGGGTGGGGTGAATTGTTGTTGTTTTAGGTTTCAGTCAGACAGACATCACTGTGCCCCAGTTCCCAGAAGCACAGCAGGCCTCTAGGAGCATCCGTGGGAACGGCGCAGTCCTGACATCACCAACTCTCCTGCTCAGGCTCATCCCATATACAGAGGTCAAAGGGTGGGGTTTGAGAACGGGGGAAGGAATGAGAAAGTAGAAGCAATGTAACTGCAGTGCCACTGTTGACTAGCCTTTGGTGCTTATGTCAGTGTTTGTTTTATTTTTTTATGTTGCCAGAACTATTTTGGGGTAAAGGTAGTAGGGGGGTGGAACAAAAACAAGCCATTATTATTATTCATTAGTGGATACTGTTCTTTAATAGCTAATACAGAATAAACTTGAAACCCAAACCTTCAGTGACAAAGGGAATGGGAATAGAAATTAATCTCAGGACTTTAACAAACAGAAAACATTTATGTTGTGTTAGTTTCCAGTTCTACAACTGCTATTACATTTGTCCCTCTGTCTCCCTTTTTCAACCTGATTTTTTTTGTGTATGTATACAGTTTGAGGAAATACGCATTTGTGATCAGTCCTTTTAAAAGGACTCAGTGACTTAATCTTGCAAAAGATACACCCAATGCTTATATGGGCATACAAATGCTACCCTATTTTAAATATAGGTGGCGTATGTGTTCGTGTTTTAATGTATTCAGAGCCATTGAGCAATAAGCAGTCCAGAACATTGAAAACTCATGCAGGTAAAGCACCTAATGCCTTTAGTTTCTAGAATTACTATTAAAAACTCCTTTATTGCTGCATCTTCCACAATTCTTTAATAGTCTCTGAACTTAAAATTTACAGGAGTTGTGGACTCTCTCATTAAAATTTTAAGTTGCTCACTTATTCATAAGATTGTAGGGATAGGTGAAAAAGGAAAGTATAACAAAATAAATGGTTCCTTGAGATGGCAACTGCTGAGTGTCTACATCTTTCCTCTTAAAAAATTCCCAGCTTAGCATGAATATTGATCATACATTGTTTAATTTTTTGTGATTGGGATTTTTGTTGTTTTGACTTGGGTGGGGAGGTCTTGGGGAATCAGTGAGGAAGCTCATACACATGTGAAAATATGAAATGTTAAAGGAATTTTTCCATTTAATCTGAATAGTAAGCAAGAACTTTTTCTATATACCCTTCTGCTGCAGCAGAGAGATAAACTGGTAGGTGGCAGCAGAAGAAGGAATTCTTCAGATTGACCGCTACTGAAAGAATCTACATAGAAGAGATAGAGCATAACATACCAAGTGAAGGAAAGGGGGCAAAAAATGGAAACAGGACTAAAATGTTTGGATTTTGACTCTAAATGGTAAGTTATTTTCTACTAAGAATGTATTAATCAGTCTACTGGTATATATGACATTGTGGTATGAAATCATAAATGGATTTATAGGTCCTTGCCTTAGGATGAGTTTGGCCTAACGAAGGTACTATCATTTTTTTTATTTTGGGGGGGGAGAAAAAACAAAACAAAAAACTAGCACTATGTAAAATTAGGAATCTTTCCCCAGTATATTGATATATATGAACCTTTATTGAGGTATAATTGACAAGCGTAAGATATTTAAAGTATACAACATAATGATTTGATAGATATATACATTGTAAGATTATCCCCCCCCAATCAAGTTATTCTTTCACATCTAATATGTGAATCTCAATGATGGCAAAAATTATGCCTTTCACAATAAGTCAGGTTTTTAAAAATCTGCCAGATAAATGACATATATATTGTTTAACCATTTTATAAAAAATAAAGTGTCTCCTTTTTATTAGCAACACTGGGGAGATAGCAACAAAAGTAGGTAATTTGGAAAACTTACGGGGTAAAAATAATTTTTTCTTTAACTAGTTATCTTTTATCTATCTAGTCTCATTTCCTTGTCATTGTGTCTGCTCATCCATTCTACTCTGTTCACCTTTCTTCATTGCTTTTCTGTCTCTGTGCTTATTTTCTTCCATTTTCTTTTTTTTTTTTTTTAAGATTTTATTGATTTATTTGACAGATCATACATAGGCAGAGAGGCAGGCAGAGAGAGTGGGGGAAGCGGGTTCCCCACTGAGCAGAGAGCCCTATGCGGGGCTGGATCCCAGGACCCTGAGATCATGACCTGAGCTGAGTCACCCAGGCACCCCTCTTCCATTTTCTTCATTTGTGTTTTTTCTTCCCTATCTGTGTATCTCTTCCTCCTCTTGGTCTCCCTGTATGCTTCGCTCATTCATTTCCTCAGAAGTTTACTTTCCCAGTGTTGCCATTTTTCATCTCTGCCTCACTTTTTTTCTGTATGTGTGTGTCCTTCCCTTCTCATTTGCATTCTCCGTGTTTGTATCTTTCAGAGTAAACAGCTTTATTTTTTTTTGCATCAACAAGTACCTTAAGACACTAATCAGAGTATCAACATTGTAATTACCTATTTTAGAATTTGGAGAGGCTACATAGAAGAAATGGAGAATTTTAAAGTCCCTGGAAAGATTAAATTTCGGAATTGAAATTTATAGTAAGATGCAGATCCATTTACTCATTCAGCCACAAGTTTATTTTAACTATAGTATCTGTTGTTGCTGGAAACAAGCTGTTTTAAGATCAATTGGACAGAAAGAAAAGTCCTGGGGTTCTTAATTTCATCTAGACTTAAGTTCAAATTGATTCTGATTTTTTTCAAGTTTCTAATGAAATCAGGAAAGCAGTTACTAATTTATAGATGTTTACTAGAACATGTTTACTAGAAAATCTTTTTACTGAGATATAATTGACATATAAGTTTTAGATGTACAACACAATGATTTAATATTTATATACATTGGGAATTGATCACCATAGTAAGTCTAAGTAACATGCATCACTATATATAATTATAGAATTCTTTTTTTCTTGTGATGAGGACTTTAAAAAGCTACTCTTAGCAACTTTGAAATGTGCAGTATGGCATTATGACTTAGGTATTTTATAACTGGAGAGAAAATAAACATTTAGTCTTTTAGATAAAAGTAATTGAAACAATAAGTCTTTTTTTCTAGGATAATATAAATAGTATAGTATAAATGTAAACATTTAGAAGTGTTAATTAGCTTCATTAAAGTAGCACATAAATGTTTTCAAGTTTTTTAGATGGTGAAAACAGGATATCCAGAAGAGAAATTATTATTTAAAGAAGAGGAGTCCTGTTTCCTATTAACATATGTAATAACAGAACTACCGCATACAAGTGCCTGTGATTGAAGTTTAGAGTTTTTAAGCTGGAAAGCTTAGAGGCTATATATTACAATTTTGAATATGCTGGTAAGGTAACTAAGGTTCACAAAAGTTAGTAACTTTCCCAAGATTACAGAACCACAACAAGGGCCCAAGTCTCCTACCTGCTAATAAAGTTCTCATTGCCTTATATATCATGCATCTTTCTAAATCTGTTGTAGTATCTGAAGAAATGAAATGCTCTGTGATGAGAGCTGTGATATACCAATAAAAAGTTATCACTGTTTGTGCTTGTGGTTATCTCCTGTGGTGGGAAATCTATTCAAATAAAGGTTATTAAGGCAAGCTGTGAGTGACTATTTTAGGTGGCTTATATGTAAAATTAATGAGCACATCATTTGTAAGGTTTGGAAATGAAAAGGCGTCCCTTGTTAAGGTAAGACGCAAAGAACCTTCAGGTTCTTTGCAGTTTCAGGTTAAGGAGAAGAGGAATGGATTCCTTAGATCACTATACCATGGATGAATAGTAACGTGAAGCTAGAATAACTGGTACCATTGTCTAAATATGTAGTATTCTTTCCTTTAAAAAAAAAAAAGGTATAAAAGGAACTTATCTTCTATTAAGAAATATTTATGGAACACAAAACTATGCACCCTAAGTTAATATGGTTGGAATTTCTAAATTTTTTTGGACAGTTTTCTTTTTATTACAAATTTTCATATATAGTTCACATAGAGATGGTACATATAGAGATGGCAGTGCTTTAGAACTGAAAGAAGATAACCAGCTTGAATTTTAATCTGAACCAGAATTTATTGTTTATTGTATAACTTAACTGAAAATGTAACGTAGGGAGGCCTAACTGGCTCAGTCCATAGAGCATGTGAATCTTGATCTCAGAGTTGTGAGTTCAAGCTGCACATTGGGCATGGAGCCTACTTAAAATAAAAATTAAAAAAAAAAAAAAAGTAACCTAAGGTAATAGGGTAAGAGCATAACATTTAAATTTAATTTTGTTTGTTGAGGTGTTTTACTATAATTTTGTTTTATTTTGTGTGAAGTTTTGCAAGAATTATTTTTGCCTCAGGGTTTTTCTCTTGGTACAGTTTTTCTGACTAAAATCACAGTTGTCTATATTAATAAGATTGTTAAGGGATGATATTGCTAATACATCTTTATATGTCAGAATAACAGACCATACCTTAGTATGCTTAGTATACCTTTTTCAGGTGAGATCACAAAGGCAAATGTGGTAATCACAAAAATAAAACAGTTGTAAATTTTTTTGGTAGTCTAGACAGTTTTGTAATATTTTATTGTCACATTTTGTTAATTTTCAATTTTTTTTTCTTTTTTCTCATCTTAATTATAAAGACTGTTTAAATCTGATTTAAGTGAGCTGTATGTGTTTTTCCCCTCTAGGTTCTTTTGAAGTAACCAGTGATCCTTTTTGCTTATTACTTCATTCACAGAATGGACGAAGATAGATTTGACTGTATGTTTTTTGAAATGGAGTATAGAAATACCCAGAACAAGGAAGCAGTAGCTCTAACCTGTTTGATTCGATGTGTTTTCTAAAATAAAAACACCAGAACTGGGAATCAAATAGTATGGAGTGTGATTTTTTCTTTTGGCAGTTATTCCTGCCCACTCCATCTTACATGAATTCACTTCAGTCCATATGGCTAGACTTGAAGTCTAGCTCCACATGTGTCATTCTCTTTATCCTTTCGTTTTCTTCACTTTGCAAACTCCTTTGGTTCTTGACATACTGATTTTTCTGTAATATATTTGGAAATGATTACTTTCTCCTTTTAGTACATAGGCACTAAAATATGTATCATTTTACATGTAAATGTGTGTTACATGGATTTATTCCTACCCCTTTCCATTCCCACTTTATCTGTCCATGCTAAATAATTGTTTCTGTGTTTTTTTTAATTTCTGAAGAAGTGCAACTTTTTTCTTTTTCACTCTGACAGCTCCCCGACATACACTCATCACAGTACCACTCACTGTGTTTTAATCTTCTTTAACTAGAGACTAGAGAAGATCTGATACATATGTGTGTATACAGAGGCAGCCCTAATACTTAAGACAAAAAATACTGATATTCTTTGTAGTCAGATATTGATACAAATTCTAATTCCATTATTTACTGGTTACATGGACTTTGGACAAATCACCCTCTTCAAGCTGTAAGGGAGTATTTGTAAAATTGGAATAATTGTACCCACTTTACTAGATTAAAGTGTAAGTATAGCTTTGCTATAATACATGTATAGTGCTTAGCACATAGTTGAATAATAAATACTAATCTTTAATTCTGTAAATTTTGGTTACTGATATCTTACTCAAGAGCTGCTGAATCTTTTCATCTCAGAATTAAAGTCCATAAGATTTTCTTTCTTGATTACTTCTTGGTTTTCCTATGTAAGCTCCTTTCATAAGATTTTGTGGTTGGAATACTGTGTGCACGCATGTATGTGCGTGTACACATTTGTGGCATTTCTCCTAGACTGATTATTCCTTATCTCTACACTTCATTGACTGACTAAGGAATTTTATATAAGAAAACTTTTATTTCATATTGTCTCCAGTTATTCCCTGTCAGCTCATAACAATAACTTTTTCTTAATCAGGAGAATTAAACAAGTGAGGAATATGCATACCACATACCATAAGGAATAATTTAGGATAGTGTGACTTGTTTCCCTAAAAATGATTTAATGTGATTTACCAGAGTTGTACTAAATCAAATGGTGGAGAAGCCATAATAAAGGGCAAAAACGGTAAAAGAAGGGTTAGAATCATACATAGTATCAGGTCTTATACATTTGCTTAGAAGTGTAACAAAATTGGCAAAGAGTGGAATAAGAAAATTACAGGGACACCTGTATGACTTGGTTGGGCAGCCAACTCTTAATTTTTGGCTCAGATTGTGCTCTCAGGATTGTGAGATTGAGCCCTGCTTGCATGCTCGCTCTCTCTTGTGCTCACAGTAAATCTTAATTGCACAAGAGAAGCAGTATGTTCTTTTTTTTTTTAAGATTTTACTTTCTTTCTTGACAGAGAGAGATTACAAGTAGGCAGAGCAGCAGGCAGAGAGAGGGGACAGCAGGCTCCCTGCCGAACAGAGAGCCTGATGTAGGGCTCGATCCCAGGACCCCGAGACCATGACCTGAGCCGAAGGCAGAGGCTTTAACCCACTGAGCCACCTAGGCAACTGAGGCAGTATGTTCTGATTTTGAGATATCCCACAATGTAGATCAGTACTATGACACTAAAATGCAATCCATTAAAGCCAGCACAGTAAGAAATCCTCTTGATGGTCTAAGCTGATTCAATCATAAATTTTAATTTTTCTCGGGGCTCCTGGGTGGTTCAGTGGGTTAAAGCCTCTGCCTTCAGCTCAGGTCATGATCTCAGGGTCCTGGGATCAAGCCCCACATTGGGCTCTCTGCTCGGCGGACGGTGAGCCTGCTTCCTCCTCTCTTTCTCTGCCTGCCTCTGTACCTACTTGTGATCTCTGTGAAATAAATAAAATCTTAAAAAAAAAAATTTAAATTTTCTCAGTGATCTACAACCGCCTATAAAATAACCCTTTTTTCTACAACCGCCTGTAAAATAACCCTTCAAAAATATTTTTAAAAATCTTTTTTTTTTTAAAGATTTTATTTATTTGACAGACAGAGATCACAAGTAGGCAGAGAGGAAGGCAGAGAGAGAGGAGGAAGCAGGCTCCTTGCCGAGCAGGGAGCCGGATGCGGGACTGGATCCCAGGACCCTGGGATCATGACCTGAGCTGAAGGCAGAGGCTTTAACCCGCTGAGCCACCCAGGCGCCCCAATATTTTTTTTTTAAATCTTAGCTCAGGGGGCTGCCTGGGTGGCTCAGTGGGTTAAGCCTCTGCCTTCAGCTCAGGTCATGATCCCAGGGTCCTGGGATCAAGTCCCGCATCGGGCTCTCTGCTAGGCAGGGAGCCTGCTTCCTCCTCCCTCTCTCTGTCTCTGTCTCTGCTTGCCTCTCTGCCTACTTGTGATCTCTCTCTGTCAAATAAATAAAATCTTAAAAAAAAAAAAAAATCTTCGCTCAGGAACGCTTGGGTAGCTCAGTCAGTTAAGTGTCGAATTTGGCTCAGATAATGATCTCAGGGTTGTGGAGTCAAGCCCTCTGTTGGGCTCTGTGCTGGAGTCTGCTTGAGATTTCCCTCTCCTTTTGCCCCTTCCCCTTCTCTGATGTGGTTTCCCACTGTCTCTCTAGAGTAAATAACAATATATTTTTATTTTTTTAAAGATCTTATTTGTCAGAGAGCACACAAGCAGGGAGAACTTCAGGCAGAGGGAGAAACAGGCCCCCTGTTGAGCAAGGAGACTGATGAACTTGATTCCAGGACCTTGGGATCATAATCTGAGCTGAAGGCAGACACTTAATCAACTGAGCAACGCAAGCATCCCAAATAAATACAGTCTTTAAAAAATAAAAGTTTATTTTTTAAAGCATCCATGCTAGTGTCACTTTGGATCCTCCAAATGTGCTAGAGGTGTTCTGAAGAAGATGCCAGTGAAGGGTATAAGGGAGAAGGAACAGTAGCCACGAAAAAGCATTTGACACCTATGACAGAAGAAAATTGAATGGAAAGAGCATCAGACCTAAACTGTTCTGAGAAAGTCTCTGCCAGCCTGATAGAGGAATGTTAGAGCAGATTACCCATTATGGCAATTCAGCATTGGGCAGAAATGGCCTGGGTAGTAAGCTAGGAGCAGCCTGAGGAGAAATCAGCCTCCATACAAATGCTGTGACAGATCAGGAGTTGAAACTGGAGGCTGTTTGCATCAAGTCACACCCCCCCACCAGCTTTATTGAGATATAATTGAAATATAACATTGTATCAACTTAAGGTATTTAAAAATGATTTGCTATGTGTATATATTGCATAATTATTACGATGGTAAGTTTAGTTACACATCACCACAGTCTAAAAATAATTTTTCTTACGAGATTTTTAAAGATCTTTCTCAGAAACTTTAAAATATACAATACAGCATTATTAATGGTAGCCAGCATAATGTACATGACATCCCCAGAACTCATTTATCTTACCACTGGAGGTTTGTACCTTTTGGCCACTTTCACCTATCCTCCCTCTCACCTCTGCAAATCCATCTAGCCAACCACAAATCTGGTGTTGTTTTTTTCCTATGAGTTTTTGTTTTTTAATTCCACATAGATGATTAGAGTATTTATCTTTCTTTGTCAGATTTTTATTTCACTTAGCATAATGCCCCAAATTCCATCCATGTTGTCACAGATGGCAAGATTTCCTTTTCTATAGCTGAATAATATCCCATAGCATCTAGTTGCATCGAGATACCTCATTTTTAAAATTTTTTTAAAAGATTTTATTTATTTATTTGACAGAGATCACAAGTAGGCAGAGAGGCAGGCGGGGTGCTGTGGGGGAAGCAGGCTCCCTGCTGAGCAGAGCGCCCAATGCGGGGCACGATCCCAGGATGACCTGGGATGACCTGAACCAAAGGCAGAGGCTCCCCCCACTGAGCCACCCAGGTGCCCCGAGATACCACATTTATTTTTATCCATTCATTCATTAATGGACACTTTAAGTTGTTCCCATAGCTGTTACAAAGCTGTGGTGAACATGTAGTTGCAGATACAGGATCATATAGTGGTTCTATTTTTAATTTTTTGGAGGGGCTTCCATAATGTTTTTCATGATGGCTGTACCAATTTGCATTCCCACCCACAATGTATGAGCTTTTCCTTTTCTCCACATTGTTGGCATATTTCTCATTTTTTAAAAAATTTTATTTTTTTATTTGAAAGAGCGAGATCACAAGTAGGCAGAGGCAGGCAGAGAGAGAAGGAAGCAGGCTCCCTGCCAAGCAGAGAGCCCGATGAGAGACTCGATCCCAGGACCCTGAGATCATGACCTGAGCCAAAGGCAGGGGCTTAACCCACTGAGCCACCCAGGCGCCCTCTCATCTTTTTGATAATAGCCATTCTACTAGGTGTGAAGTGATAGCTCATTGTGGTTTTGATTTGCATTTTGCTGATGATTAGCAATGTTGCAATTTCTCATGTGCCTTTTGGCCTCTTGTAGCTTGTGTTTGGAAAAATTTCTGTTCAGGTCCTCTCCATTTTTAATAACCACTTATCAGATACATAATTTGTACATATTTTCTGCCATTCCATAGGTTGTCTCTTTGTGGTTTCCTTCAGTCTGTAGAGGCTTTTTAGTTTGATGTAGTCCCTTTGGTTTTGTTTGCCTTTGCTTTTGGTGTCAAGTCCAAAATAAATTATTGCCAAGAGCACTGTCAAGGAGCTTACCCTCTGTTTTCTTCTAGGAGCTTCATGGTTTCAACTCTTATGTTTTCTTCTTTCTTTTTTCTTTTTCTTTTTTTTTTTTGAGTTAATTCTTTTATGGACTTTACAGTAAGGGTTCAGTTTCATTCTTTTTGCATGTGGCTGTCCAGTTTTCCAACACCATTTATTATAGTATGCTTTCCCCATTGTATATTGTTAGCTGCATTTTAAATTAATGGAACATATATGTTTGGGTTTATTTCTATGCTCTGTATTT